GTAAAATTTTTTTTTTTTTTTTTTTTTTTTAATGATAATGTGTTATTCATGGGATGTTCAGGAAGCTTTTTAAAAGATGATGATAATAATAATAATAATAGAGAAATGGAAAATGAACAACCGGAAAACAAACAAACCCCCATTGTGGTAAGGATTCATTTTAAATTTTTGTTTGCTTTTCAATTAATTTTACTCGGGGAAGGGGAGGTGGGGGGAGATTTTTTCGTACATGATAAAGTTTATTTTTAAATTAAAATATTTTTTCGGACTTGAAAAATTTTAATTATTATTATTATTAAATTCGTTGGACTTATTTGATGTATGCATACACGACGTATTTCCTTATTTTTTTTAGTGTGCGTGTGTGCGGGTGCGAGCACGCATTTTATTAATTAATATTTAAATTAATAATATTTTTTTTTGTAAATAGAATCCGCATGTGAAAAAATTATTAAAAAGCGAAAGACCGGATGATTTGCTCATGGCTTACATATATTTAGATAAAGAAATATCAGATGCTGAAAACGAATGTCCAGCATCAATTTATGGAGAAGCATTATCCAGACAACAACAAATAAAATCTCATTTACAATTAGCTTTGGAAGAAAAAAATCATAAGTAATTTTTTTTAAATAAAAAAAAAAAAAGAAAGAAACTCAAACGTCATTAAGGGTATTTGTTTATGTTTTCATTTTGGGGGGGTTGGTTTTTTTTAGCGAATTTTTTTCAGAAAAATGTTCAATTTACGATATATTTATCGAACTCGGTTTGAAAAATTCTAAAAATGCAATAGAACACGAAGAATTTGTTGCTAGAATCAATAGGAGAGCATTAAATTTAAATTCAATAAGAATTTGGCAAGAGGAAACGGAAAATATTGAAAATCGAATTGAAAAAGCATCAAAGAAAATCGATGATTTACAAAAAGCTTACAATTTACAAGAACAACTTTTAGGTAAAATTTTCTTTTTTCTTTTTTTTTTTTTTTTTTGCTCCCTACTGTTGGAAATATTCAATGATTTTTCAATTAGTTTGTTGTTTTGTTTTGTCCCCCCCCCCTCTCTCTCTCTCTCTCTCAGTATTAATGTAGAATCAATAATGTTTTTTTTTTTTTTGTTTCGAAAACCAAACAAAATTAAAAAAAAAAAAAAATAGTTTTAAAAATGGATGATAATTCTTTTTAATTTCAACCAACCATTACTATTATCATTATTATTATTATTATTATGAAGAAAACAATAAACACACACACACACATATATATATATATATTTTTTGTAATTAGATAAAATTTTTTCTAAATCTTACGGAAATGAAACAGAAGTCATGTTGGAAAAACAATTAGACAGAATGAGATATTATAAAGATTTACTTTGCATCGGTGTCATGCAATGGGAAGCTTGTTTGGAAAGAATTAAAAATGCCGTACGTTTATCAAAAAGAGGTTTTTCCTCTTGGAAATTAATTAAAAACGAGTTAGTATAATAAATAATAATAAATAATAATAATAATAATAAAATTAAAATAAATTATAATTAGTCGTCGTAGTAATTTTTTAATTTTTTTTTTTTTTTTATAGATTTTTGGAAAATAAAATTAAAAATGCAACCGTAGCAAGAGATTGCTTTCAAGAATCAATCATTCTCATTCATTCATCGGAAGAATTATTACAAGATGTACAATTTCCTTATTGTACGACAAGAGAACTCAAAGGTGTATCGCAGGTAAAAAAAAATTTTTTTATTTTTATTTATAAAAGTATGCATTTTGCGAGTATGAAAGTATTACAAATAATATAATTTATTTTATGCAGGCGCTTGAATATATTTTCACCGACATCTTGATCGAAGATAGATATTTACATGCGACGCAAGTTTATAAAAATCTCCGTGAAAGGGCAACACTTTTAGAAAATTGGATGAACGAGGTAAGATAGTTTTTAAAAATTACAATAGATGTCACTAAATTAAGAAAAAAAATAATTTTCACGTTAAAAAAAAAAAAAATTTCATTTTCGACTTTCATTTTCATTTTATTTTTATTAAAAAAAAACCCTCTATTTATAATAATTACGAATAATTATTATTAATTTATAAAATCGAAATTAAAAATATTTTACAACAAGACAAAAGTGAAAAGTAATATATATATTAATAATTTAAATTATTTATAGGCAAAAAATAATAATAGTAAACTTACCCTAATTAAAAATAAAAATTACAAAACAATATGGTTCCGCCATTAATGACAAATAATTTTAAAAACAAAAATTTATATTTAATCATTGTTAGAAATTAATATCTGAATCTAAAAGGTAAACACAAGATGCTAATTTGATACCCTCAGTGAGTTATCATTTAATTTTTTCTTTACTTCCGGTTTTCATTTAAAAACCTTTTCGCAATTGACCCGTAACGAATTATTTAAACAAAATGTTTTTTTTTGTTTTTCATAACTAATTTTATTCCCTATACGATGAATTTGATAAAACAGATTTTTCGGAATTTATGAAAAAAAAATTTTGTATGAAATCCGGTTTGGAAAAATGACGACGATGGTAAAAACCGCAAAAAAAAAAAAAAAAAGAATTATGAAAATGATAAAATTTAATAACATCCGCCATATTGAATTAAAAATTTTTATGTTTTCTGATTTCACTATCAATATTATTACTCAACAACAACAACAACAACTACTAAGAAATAACATAAACACAAAATTTTTTTCGTGGAAAATCCAATAAGAATCACGTTGATAAGTAAAAGTTTGAGTTGTTGTAAACCCGTCCGCCATTTTTTTTTTCAACCAAATTTTTTTATTTACAATTTCAGGTTATGGATACGAAATTAAAAAAAGATTTTTTAGAAGCGGAGGAAAATATTCAAAAAATATCGAAAAAATTAAAAAACGAAAGAATATCGTTGATAAAAAGAAAATTTAATTTAAATAATTTTGTCACACCGGAATCACCCGCTAAAACAAATTTTAATAAAAATGGCGAACGCGATGATGATGACGTATTAATAAAATCAATTAATGATATAAATTCATCTTTTGTACCTTTAAATCAAAATTACGTTAATCAAAATGATTTTGATAAAATTTTAATTGATAATAAAAATAAAACCATTTGGCCGAGCAGAAGAATAGACGAATTGCAAAATTATTACATTCAAAAACAATAATATAAAAAACCGGAAATGGATGAGTTTGTAAAAACATCCAACGAAAACGTGGAATAAGAATAAGATTTTGTGTTGTTGTTTTTCTAAAAAAATAATAAAACATTTGTCATCATTTTATTTAAAAAAAAACAAAATCCTCCAACTGTACTCTTTTACTAAAAAAAAATTTTTTAACGGTAGCCATTTTTTTTTTTTTTTTCATTATTTTAGTCACGTCATTCACTTTTACATAATTTAATTTTTTTTTAAAATTGTTGTTAATAAAAAATTTTAAAAAAATAAAAAAAAAACGGAAATAAACCCGCGAAATTTTTTTTAAAAAAAAAAAACCGTTACGAATGATTTTTTACGTCATCGGTTAAAAAAATATGGCTGACAAAAAAAAAATTAAATAAAATATATATTAACAATCTTTTTGTAAAAAAAAAAAAAATTTCACTTTCTTTCTTTCTTTCTTTCTCTTTCTGCCACGACCAAAAAAAAAATTTATTTATTTATTTATTAACAATTAATATCTTTATAATAATAATAATAACGAGAATGGAAAAAAAATTTGTTGTTTTTTTTATCATTATCGTCATTACCATCATCATCATCATAATAATAATCATGATTCTCGTATAAATATCATTATACGTAAATTTAATAATAATGATCTCAGAATTGAATCATAGTTGTTTTTTTTTTTTTTTTAAACAACAACAACATAACTTGTTTTGGCGTTTAATCGTTGCTCCTTTCGCCACCACACACATAAACTTCCACATACCTAAAAAAAAATTTCACTTCAACAAATTTAACAACGTACGATTATTTTTGTTTTTTTTTTAGTTAGTTTGACTATAGAATTTACACAAGACGGTTGGTTGGTTGGTTGGTTGGTTGTTGTTGTTGTTGTTAGAAACAACAAGAAGATAGAGAAAGCATTGGTTGGTGGTTACCGGAGAGATGTTTTTTTTTTTTTTTTTAATATTTATTATTATTATTATTATTTATAGTTGTTCAGTGTAAGATGGGTCGTCGGCCATTGGGTCTCTTATAGGTTTCGTTCGTTCGTTCGTCCGTCCATCTATGTTTCCTTTTAAATTTTTTTTTTTTTTTTTTACTGTTTAATATAACGCAGCACGTACGTAATTACGTGTGCGTACACGCGTATTAATAATAATAATAATAATAAATTTTTTTTTATTTGTGATTTTAACAGTCGATGATATATAAAATATCGGGAAATTTTTTTTTTTTTTTTGTTATGTACACTGCTACCTTCTGTGAGTAATTTTTTTTTCTTTTCTTTTCTTTTCTTATTAAATTTTGATTATTATTATTATTATAAGAAAAAGAATTTTCTAGAATTTTTTTTTTATTAATTTTTTCACGTATTTTTAATAAAGAAAGAGGAGGGAAAAAAATCAAAAAAAAAAAAAAAACGTGAAAAGAAAAAAGAAATTTTTTTTTATTTTTCTGCTACCACGTATGTTTGTTAATTAAAACGGAAATAAGATGAAGAAAAAATTACGATCGAGATATCGTTTTTAAAAAATATTTAGCAGGAGCGTAACCTTACATAAATATTATTTAATTATATTATTAGAATCCTAAAAAAAAAAAAAAAAACTTTTTTTTAAAAATACTTTTGGTTAGGAAAAAACATAAAATGTTTTACCGTTAAAAACATATTCGACTGTTTAAAATATGTTTTACCATTATTATTATTATTATTATTAGAAAATATCGTGGAAAAAAAAAAAAACAAAAAAACATTTTTCTCAATGGTAAAAAAAAAAAAAGAAAAACTTTTGTTTTCACTTTTTCAAGTTTTAATGAGTGAATTTATTTGTTTATTTTTTTACAATTGACTTTCTTTCGTGCTGGTTTTCTATGTGCATCTATGGTTTTCTTACGTTTCGATTTTTTAATACCGATAAATTTAAAGGGAAAAAAAAGAAAATTCGAGCAGCGAAATCTTCGCCTTATAATATACATATACATAATAATCTTTTAAAATTTTTTTTACATAACGTTTACATACATAGAAATTTAAAAAAAAAATTGAATAAATAATTTATTTATTGGCAGAATACATAATTTTTTTTAGTAATAAATAATATATGTATATTATTAATAATTAAAGTCACGCGTGGTTAAGGTTCCGTATTCGTTAAACGATTTCTTATAAAAAAAAAATTTCTTTTTGTTTCCGTTTCGTTTTTATTTACTTCTTCCGGAATGAATTTTTTTTTTTTTTTGTTTAATGAAACATTTCCGGTTGTTAATTTTTTTAATTTTCTTTTCTTATATATATATATAAATAAATTTTTTTTTCGTTTTGTTTGAACAGGATTTTTCAATAAATTAAAAGAAAAGAAAAGAAGAGAAAAAAAAATTACGAAACAGTAAAAAAAAAAAAAATGGAAAGTTTATTTTATTATTAAAAATTTTCTTTTTTTTTTTTTGTTCCTACAGATGATGATAAAAACTTTTAAAAAATCGATTGTGTGAACTAACCGTTATCGATAACGACAACAACAACACAAAATTTCAATTATTATTATTATTATTATTTACAAAAATATCGAAAAGTGTCTGTTTTTCAAAAGTGTTTTAATAAAATTAAACCCGGAATATTCATAATAATAATAATAATAATAAATATTATTGAAAAACGTATAAAAAAAAAAAATTTTCCATTCAAGAAAGTTAATTAAGAAAGAAATGCATAGACTAAACGATAATAATAATAATAATAATAATAATAATAATAATAATAATAGTTAAAAGAAAAAATTTATCATCAATTAGTTTAAAAAAAAAAGTGAAAGTAAAACTCTTATTATTAACAAGAGTTAATTAATTTTTCTTCTTCATTTTTTTGAGGGGGCGAGGAAGAAGGAGGAAATAATTAAAAACAAAATAATATCGATTTATCGATTGATTGATCGATCGATTAATCGTATACATATCATCATCAATAGATACATATCGATAAAATATGGCACCGACATGTTGTCATCTATGGAATGCAAATCAATTATGGATTAAGGAAAGGTAAGAAAAATTTCATTATTATTATTATAACTAAACTTTTTTTTTTTTTTTTAATAACAAATTTTTTTTTTAAATAACAATAAGTTGTAGTTAATTAATTTTAATATAAATAAATAAATAAAAACAATGGAGAAAATTTATTATTATAAACAAAAAATTAAAAGAAAGTCAGAGGATAATGAAAAAAAACCGGAAATGGATATCGAAATTTTGTTTTTGTTTTTTTTCGTCGATTCGCACGAATTAATTAAAAAAATTTCTTCATTGAATTTATTTATTTATTTTATTATTAATAACTGTTATTGACGAAAGTTTAAACGAAAAATATTAATTATTAATTAATAATTAATTATTAAAATCATTTAAATAAATAATTTTACCGTATCGGTGACACTCGGAGAGAGAAAATTTTTTTTTTCGGTTGAAAAATTCAAACGCGATTGACATTCGTACAGTTTCAAGAGATAATAATAATAATAATATAATTTATTTGAATTATTTAATAAAGGAAATTTAAAAGTAATGGACTACGCCACTGTCCGCTTTCTTTCTATCCAAGAAAAATGGCAATTAAATATATCGTGAACGGGTGATATCGATTACAGAATTTTTTTTTTATATTAATATAAATATATAATCGTACAAAACCTGCCATGCCTGTTTGGTTGGTTCAAGGTCGAAGTTCCGTCCAGTGAAACTTTTTTTTTTTACTGGATAAAATGTTTGCTCGCTATTGGTTGGTAATTAATTCGTTCATGTTTTTTATTATTATTATTCTTTCTTTCTTTCTTTCGCATTTTTTTTTTGGAATTTTTTATTACTAGGAAAAAAAATAAAACATAACTACGAGGAGGAAAGCTAGTCACAATATGAAAATAATATACAAAAAAAAAACAACAAAGTAATCAATCAAAGTAAAGCTCGAGGGTATACGTATTTATAAAAAATGAATACAATAATAATAATAATAATACGTTCGACAATTAGAAAATGATACGGAATTTTTAAAAATAATAACTCTATGGTTTTCCCTTAAAAAGGAAAAACCGGGAAAGGGGGATGAAATAGGGATTCGAAGAAGGAAAAAAAATCTCAAAATATTATTTATTAATATATAAAACAATAAAAAATTTTTAACGAAGTGTTTTTGCTATTGCTAATAATAATAAATGATTAAGGAAATAATAATAATATTTTTTTTTTTAATTTTACGACGTTTAAAAACCTATGAAAATTAATAATAATAATAATGATAAAAATAATTTCTAACGTGTTTTGTTGCTCCGCGTTTCCCATTATTATTTTATTTATTATTGCCTTAAACTCTTGTTTCTACTTCCAATATAATTTTAAGTAAAATAACTTTTACTTGCAGTTTTTTTTTTTTCACTTTTACTTTCTATTATTGAAATTTAACGTTTGAATGATGAAAGAAAGAAAAAATAATAATAATAATATAAATGTAAACCGTAGCAAATTTTGAAATTTTTTTTTTTTCAAAAACGAATTTAAAAATTATTATTATTATTATTTTAATTATTAATTTTTTTCTTAAGAATCCAAATTTAAAAAAATAATAAAATTATCGAAATTTATTTATTTTAAATGAACTATAGCAAAAAAAAAAATTAATCTTTTTTTCTCATTATTTATAATTACAGAAGAAAAAAAAAATTTCATTTTTTATCGATAGCAAAAATTAATTAAATAAATTCTGTTATTAATTAATTAATCAATTTGCGCTCGTTTAGATTTATATAGAAAGATTTTACTACTACGAATAATATTTAGAATAAGGATTAAAAGTTTTTTTCTATTTGCTATTATTAAAATTTTGATATTATTTATAAAACATTTTTTTAAAAAAAATAATTCGATTCTCGCATAATCTTTTTATTTAAACCTCGTTTATATCATTCATTTATTATTAATTCTAATGCCACGTTTTTTAACAC